GCACCAACGCTATGGCCCCCTGGTTGTCCTCAAGGACCTTGATGCTGCTACCACTGGTCTCTGGGGCGACAAACGAAAGCACAGCACGCACAAACAACGCCTCCTTGACACCCTCCCCGGCAGCAATGTACTCGGCTTCCGTTGAAGACAAAGACACGATACTCTGCGTCTTGCTACCGTGGCCGACTACGGTACCTCCAACCGTCGTCGCCAAACCTGACACCGAACGCCTATCCTCCGTGTCGGCGTAGCTAGCGTCTACGTACACGGCCAGCCCTAACCCCGATCCCCGTTGGTAGGTGATGCCGAGGTCCCTCGTCCCTTTCAGGTAGCCGAGGACCGTCTGGATGGCATCCCAGTGCCTCTCCGCCGGGGAGTGGGCGTGGCGCGCTGCCGCACGCACGGCGAACGAGACGTCTGGACGCGAGAAAGTCGACATCCACATCATGCTGCCGATGGCCTCCCTCACCGGCCACTCCCCTCCCTCCTCATCCTCTCGAATCGGCCCTAGATCGGCACCAGGGGTAGCGGGGATGCGGGAAGTCGATTGCACATCGAAGCGTTTAAGCATGCTGTCGATATACGCGGTTTGGGAGATTCTAAGAGTCCCAGCCTCTACATCTCTCTCGATGGCACACCCATCAAACCATTGACACTCTCCAAGGTTTTTGGTGGGAAATTTCTTGTTGAGAGAAGCAAGCAACTCCTCGCAATCCTCGTCAGACCCAGCCACCAAAATGTCATCCGCGTAGATTACGATAATCATCACCACGACTTCGTCTACCATCTTGCGGAAAACACACCGGTCCGCCTTGCACTCTTCGAACCCGTTCTCGACTAGCGTATCAGCAGCGAGGTACCCCCACTGCCTCTCGCTCTGCTTCAGTCCGTAAATCGCAGGCTCAGCCTTAACAATTTTATACGATCTGTCCCCGCACCCAGCGGGGAGCTTCAGAAAAACTTCCTCGTCTAGCGTGGCGTGTGTATGCGCCTGCTTCACATCCCAGTGATTGAGGTTCATGCCCTTCTCGTTCGCTACCGCAAGCATCAGCTTAATGGATGCGGATGAGGGGCAAGGGGAAGACGAATGGAAATAATCGACGTTCGGGATTTGCGAAAACCCCCTAGCAACCAGACGCGCTTTGAATTTGTCTATCCTCCCTTCCTTGTTGACCTTCCAACTAAAACACCACTTTGAGCTCACAGGCCTGTGCCCCTCTGGCGCACCGTCTACGAATGAAAACGTCCCCGTGCCCAAGTGCCCTTCAAACTCTTCCCTCATGGCCTGTTCCCACCCCTCTCGGTAAACAGACTTGGCAAAGCCGGCTACGGTCATGGGGGGGGGTTCCACTTCACTCGGACGCTTGCCTATGGGGGATCCACTTAGCTCGTGGGACGCCAGAGCCGTCTCGAAGGCGTCTGGCGAGTTGAGCATGAGGTCCACCGTACCCAGCAGGAAATCCTCCGCCTCTTGGCGCGCAGCGTGGGCCTCCTGCGCGCGCTCGGACAGCAACTCTCGCACCACCCTCGCCTCTAGCCCCTCCGCCACGTGAAGTACTGCCGAGAGCATCCAGCGGGTGAACTCCTCCGTGCTGCTGTCGGGCAGGCTCGCCACCGAGGCGAGCAGGGCTTCGGCACATGTCAGCGACGGGGGCGGCTCGTACCTCGAGTTTCGGCGAGGGTTCTCCCTAGTGCGGCGGCTGGTGAGTTCCGCCGTCGTGTCGAAGCGGGCGAGCCGCCGGACCTCTGGCCCACGGGGCGCCGGGAGATCCGTCTTGCTGTCGCTGCCACTGCTGCTGTCGCTGCCGCTACTGCAGCTACCGCGGCTGCTGCTGTCGCAGCCGCTGCCGCCGCTGCCGCTGCTGCGGTGGTCGTCCTCGCCGACGCTCACATCGGCCGTGCCGGTCGACGTGGTGGATGGGGCGACCCTCGCGCCCTCCCTGCTCGAGGGGGCGCCATCGCCAGCGTCGCCCGCGCCCGACTCCTGGGGCGCGGCCGGCGGTGCCGCCGGCGCTGCGCGCGCGGGCGGCCCCGCGGGCCCCGGGGCTGCCGTGGTGCCAAGGTTGAAACCTGGTCCTCCATTCACAGGTTCTCTCTCCGCCCTCCCTCCACCTTGGTTCGACGCGCCCTCCCCAACCTCGTCCTCCTCAGTCGCGAATTCCTCTTCCTCCTCTGCGATGGGAGGCAGCGACTGGGGCAGGGCGGCGGGGGCGGCGGGCTTGGATTGCCAGGTAAAGTTGCGTTTTGTGATCGCTTGGCGTTTTTCGTTCAAGATGCGCACGCAATCACGGTTGGTGTTGATTCCCGGGCCGAGGTAAAAACACTTTTGGGCTTTTGGCTCGGACTTGTGTGTGCGCTTGACCTTGTATACGGCAGGTTTGAGGAACGGGTACGTCGCCCCCGGTGGGGGAGGGTGCCCGTGCCACATCTCGCACGGCGATTTCTTCTCTGGGTTGGGTGTGGTGGAGGTGCAGCTCAGGGCGTTGCATGCCCAAGCTATGGCCTCGGCCAAAGGGAAGGGTAGTTCGGTGCTCCGGGGTAAAGAGTTGGCGCCTGGATAAGGGCGGCTAGTGCTGCATCCTTGATCAGACCCAGTGCTCTCTCAGCTACACCGTTGTATTCTGGGCTGTGCGCGGGGGTGAACTCCTGTTTGATGCAGTACTTCCGGCACACCTTGCCGAACTCTCCCTAAAAAAACTCTCCTCCATGGTCGGGTCTCACGACCATGACATCAAACGGGGCATCGTCTGCCCGGCTATGGCCTCGGCCAAAGTGAAGGGTAGTTCGGTGCTCCGGGGTAAAGAGTTGGCGCCTGGATAAGGGCGGCTAGTGCTGCATCCTTGATCAGACCCAGGGCTCTCGCAGTTACACCGTTGTGTTCTGGGCTTTGTGCGGGGGTGAACTCCTGTTTGATGCAGTACTTCCGGCACACCCTGCCGAACTCTCCCTCAAAGAACTCTCCTCCGTTGTCAGATCTCACGACCATGACATCGGNCTCTCCTCCATGGTCGGGTCTCACGACCATGACATCAAACGGGGGGCATCGTCTGCCCGGTTTTCTGCAAGGTACCTCTCGGATGCCTCACCGGCGTCTGATTTGTGCTCCAGGCAATAGACACGGTCCCCCCTTGTGTAATCAACCTTGACAATGAGAGTGTACCACTTCCCCCGAAGCTCTGCACCCTAGCTTTAGTGCTCGGGTCGACGTCTTGTTAGGAATGGGCTTGGAAAGCCCCATCGCTGTCGAGCACCCCAGGCACTCCCGGAGCTCGCCCACCAGCGTCGTCCCCTGCTGCTTCGCCTTGGTCCTCAGCAGCACCTGGTGGGAGTGGCCGTGCGCGCAGTGGTGATGTCAACGGGGGTGCTGGACGCTTTCGCGTTGCCAGGAGCAATTGCGGCTCAGGCATGTTCGATGCGTGTGCGGAAACCGTTTTGGACGTACAGGTTACCGCATCGGGGGAAGTACACCAACTCTCCCCCCCCTCTCTCAAACTCTAACTCGTGTTTTTTGAGGGTTTTGGTTTCGACCCGTCGTCGAAGAGGGAAATGAGAGATACTAGGTTGTAACCTAGTCGGGGAACGTGTGCCACCCGTTTCAACAACAGGTCGGTTGTACCGTCGCGCGAGCTAAGGGTTACCGTCACGTCGCCATACCCTACGATAGGGAAGGTTTCTCCGGCGGCGACGCGCACACGTCGATCACACTCTTCGTAACGAACGAACCCATCTGAGTTCGCGAACATGTGGGTGGTAGCGCCGGTATCGGCAACATACCTACCCCGCCTAGCCTGCTCTACAACCCCTCGACCAACGACTTTGTGACACTCGCCTGAGATGTCACCGACCACCAGCGCTTCTTCTGCCACGTCCAGTGCTGTGGCGTCCGCAGACGCTCCCCCCGCCGGCATTTCCACCACGAGCACCGCCTCCTCGGTCGGGCACTTGCTCTTGTCGTGCCCGTAGCCCTTCCATGTCTCACATCGCATGGGCTTGCTCTCGGTGCAGCCGACTACCTGGTGGCCCTTCTTGCCGCACCGGAAACAGCGACCGCGCATGCTACCCGCATCGTCGT